ATCAAGGAAGGAATGGGCATGAATATGTACCTGGTTTCATAGCGTTGCTGTTGCCTCGGTGTACAGCCTATCTGCAAGTGGTAACAGACATGCCAGGTGTGTAAGATGGAGTGATTGGTTTAACCATCACTTTAATTCAGGAATACTGATTTATATTTTCCTCTTCTACAGTCCTTAAAGGTGCTCACTTCCATTTTGCCAGTCAGGGCACTGCAATATTATTTAGGCAGGCACCTTCGTTGTACTGTCTGCTAACCTCAACCTATTTTTTGTTCAGGCACGCCTACACAATAAGTTATATGTTCGCTTATTTGTTGCATTTATATCACATCTTTCCTCCAAGGAGCTCAAGGTGATGTGCATAGTCCCCACTTCAATTTTATCTTTACAACAATGCTATGAGGTGGGTTAGATTAGGCTGAGAGTGAGTGGGGATTTGAACCCTGGTCTCCCAGGCCCTCGTCCAACACTCTAACCACTATACCACACATGTAACCATGCACCAGGTGTTGTCAACCTGCATAAAGCTTCAGCTGGTTCTAACTCCTTGCAGAGACACTATCCCCTGAAGCTACCTTTGCTGGACTCTTTGGAGCTGTCCAAGGTCCTGTCTGTTCTCTACCTTGTCAGCTTTCACGAGCAGACCAGTTCTGGGCCTCAGGCAAGGATGGTAGGGGAAATTCAATTGCATTTAAAGGTGAACCTTGAAGTTTCTAAAACAATACACAAAACCCAGCCATCCTTTGAAATTTGAACTTCTCTGAATTTTGCAATGCATTTCTCCAGTCAAGTAAAGTATAGAAAAATACATATACTAGGAAACGACATGCATAAAGATGCAGTATATTTGGGAAATTGCTTTGCAAAAAAAGTTGTATATTAGGATAATTTTGCACTAAAATGCTGATGAATTTTCATGAGGACTAGTTTGTTTTTTAAAATGCAAATTGATGTGGAAACAAACTGAACATTAACAGTTGAAAAACAAGAAACAGACCAATAAAATGGACAGATTTGCCCAATCCTAACCTAGAGGACAATGTTTTAAATGTATATTTTTTTCTTGTGAAAGTTGTCCCAGTTGTGCTTTTCGAGCTGGTCTCTGACCGTAATAAATTAGGATGATGATGAACCTAGAGGTCCTGAACTGCTCAGGCAGCTGCTCCAATCTGCAATTCTGTGGCATACGGGGACCGTGGCACACAGATCTCAGGGTCCTTCACCCTGAACCCTGCTTCCTCACTTTCTCCTTACCTCCATTGGTTTTGTTCTTGTACAACCAAGAACACTGATCAGATTTACAAGCCAATCGCTAATCAAAACCTGGTTCTACCCAGTCCTATCTCCAAACAGTACCTTTTGCTGCTCCTACTGCAGACTGACTGTTTTCCAGAGCCCCCATTTCCAAAATAATGTTATTATTTTATACTTTGTCCGGAGGAAGGAGAGGTCCACCATGGCTTTTCAACATTTGCCATACGGATGGTGTGTTAGTTCAAAAGTTTAGGAACGTCTTCCCATCCAGGCTTCCTGGCCATGGGCAGGAGAGGGAAGCACTGGAAAGAAAAAGGGCAATTAAATATGAATGCTGATTGATTTTCATTTGTACTTCTGTCTCAGTATGTGTAGTCATGCAAAAAATGAAATCTGAAATCCTCCTGGTACCCTCCCAAAATAGCCCTGGCCAAGCAGAGTCTTTGCAAGAAACAAGGCGGACTGCTGTCATTTGAGTTGATGTGGTCACCAGCAGCATATCCTTCTCTTTAACTTGAGTACGGTCCCAGTGATGACCTCATCACTTCCATTCAAAAACAGGTGTATTAGTATCAGCATGGACAATATAGGAAATCACAGTTAACAGTAGGGAATTAACTCCACATTTGTGGTGAAGAGTTTGAGCTGTGCTATAAAAGCCCTGATTTTGAATCTCGCATGACCTATAGGCAGGATCAAGGGAGAGGCTTTAACCTGCACTGGGAGCCAACCAAAACAGAATCATAGAATTGTTGAATCAAAAGGGACCCTGAGGCTTACCTAGTCCAACCTTTTGCAATACAGGAATCTTTTGCCAAACATGTAGAGACATTATGGATGTAGCATCATTTAAATGCAGAGCTGGAGGGCACTTGGTTGGCTAGGACTGGATTAATGCATCAATGCATGTTTTGTTTTGTTTTTTAAGAAATGTATTTAAAACAACTACCTTAGACTCACTAGAGCACATACCCGAGGGTCTGACATGCTAACACATCTTACCCTGCAGGATTTTCAAGGAGAACTTTGGAAGATTAACCATCTAGCTCAGTATTGTTAATGCTGACTGCCAACAGCTCTTTGGGGTTTGGAGAATAGTCTTTTCCAGCTCTGCCTGATGTCAGGGACTGGCTAGACAAAGAGAAGTGGTGGCTACCAGTTACCCAGGAAGCACCAGGGAGTGACACTGAGGAGGAGGGAGATTTTGAGTCTAACTCAGACTGGTGGGAGCAATCAACAGAGGGAACCATCAGGAAAGTCTTGGAGCCAGAGAGTGAGGGCGAAGGGGACAGTCCTCTTCTGGCCCCTTCTCCCCCCCTCCTTTTCTCAGGGCTGAAAAACGGAAAGAGCAGATAAGAAAAGCTGGATCATGCCAGAGGAATGTACAGACAGAAACACTCAAATAAGGGAAGGAGGGGAGGGGTTCCAGCTTCTGCAACTTTCATACCTGAGAGCATTGGTGTTGGGTTTCTCTGGTTGTGAAGCAATAAAGTTATTTGCCTTCAAGTCATGTGCCTGTTCCTGATTTACAGCCCAGTCGCCAGGCTTTTCTGGCAGCCTGACACCTGATGATGGCAGCGACTGAACCTGGGACAGAACTGAAGGTTATCATTCCTGATCTACCCGCTGTTCAGAGGACAGAATGGTCCCCTCAAATACTAAACCTGGCTACCTCCTAATGTATAGTATTGTCCAGCCACAAGTTTGGCATTTTCAGCTTAGTCTTAGTTCCCATCTATACATAGGATCTCAACCTTAGTTTGTAACCAAAGATGGGAGCCCATCAGCGGCAGAAAACACCAACAATGAGCAACACAAAAATAAAATAACAATCAGCAATTTTGATCAAGGGTGTATTCAGATATGGGGAACATTGTGTTAATTTTCCTGGTTATAATACCATCACTTCTGTCTTGTTTTCTAATGTTCCTTTCACACTGAAGCACCTGTTGCGTTACAGAACTGTGCAATATTTTTACTGATATACCGGCATGTTGCACTAAATTTCATGCACACCGTAGGGTATGTTGTGACACAACAATGAATTTCATTGGACAATGTTGCTATTCTCCAACCCTTTCAATACGTGTGTGCTTCTGTGCCCCAAGATCCCCCCGTAAAAACAGCAGGAATGAACTATATGCTGGGAGACCACCCCAAATTTCATCACTTAACTCCGACAATTTTCCAAGTTAAGGGGGCTGCAAATGGATTTTTTTCTGGAATCAAATAGCATGAATATGAGTGATAAACATGCACTGTTCATTTTCCAGAAGTGGATTTTATGTCATGTGAAACCTAAGATATAATGTGGAATGTAACTGTTAAGGGAAACTTCAGAGAAATGGAATAAACTGCCATGTGAATGCAGCCAAAGACATTCCTTTGAGAGTGCTCTGGTTCCCATTATCTTTCTGCCCATACACTGGAGACAAGGCATCCTCAGCACCTTGTCACTGACTAGAAGTGCTGTTTTTCCAGGCTCTTCACCAGCTGTTTAAAGGTCAATCCAAATGAGTAACTTTTTAATCCCCTTGTGCAATCAAACCACCAGGGCGATTGTCTGCAAACAGGTATGTGAGCACACCTGGAGCTGTGTGCATTATTGATGAATAGCCTGGGTCTCCCCTTGTCAGGATAATGAGGGGAGAGGTGAAGGAAGACAAAGAGACCCACCAACTTAGCAAGAGTGGAAGTGCATAATGTCTCTCTTCTTCTTCATAGACAAGTAAGATTGTCTTCCATGAACACAGTCTTAACAGTAAGTCTGTAAGTGACTGTGGAGGCCAATTCTGGATCCACACGTCCTTCCACAGTGGGGACATAGGTTTCTGCGCAAGAGTTGATCACGGTGAGGATTTGCTTAACATGCCTTCCACTTCTCCCTTTTGACCTGAGTTTGTGCTTCAAAGTCCATGATGGCTTTGGTAGAAACTATTCTCTAGCTGGAGCACTCGCAGACCAGTGTTTCCCAATTATCCATGCTTATACTGCATTTTTAAATATTTGCCTTGAGAGTGTCTTTGAACCTCTTTCGTTGTCCACTGGTATTTTGCTTTCCATTCTTAAATTGGGAATAAAGTAGTTGCTTTGGAAGGCAATAATCGGGCATCCAAACAAACAAGTTGGCCAGTCCAATGATGCTGATGTTGAAGAATCAGTGCTTCAACACTGGTGATCTTTGTTATATCCAGTACACTGACATTAGTTCATCACCTCTGTAGATCCGGGGGATAGAGTGGAAGGTGGGTTGGGGAGGGTGGGGAGTGAGAAAGATCCCTATTTTCATCTGAGGAATGTTGGAAGGTATGAACCTAGCCATTATTTCATCTACATCAATGTCATAGTGGCATTGCCCTTTCTGTTTCACAGCCCCATTGGGAGGCTATAGGGGCTGGGGCTGGTTGGAGTCATATCGAAAATAGCTGGAGAGCACCAGGATGCCCAAAGCTGCTTTGTGCACTGCAGTTGAAAAGACTCTGCCTTGCAACCTGACCCAGGAAATGGAGGGAAAGTGACAAGAGCCCCAATTGCTGGATGGAATAGCTGGGCAAGCTCATCCTGAAGGGTGTGCCTGGGCCCAGACTGCTAGGGCCTCAAAGGTTAATGCCAGAATTTAAAATTGAGCCCAAAAGCAAACTGAATGTCTGTAATCAGAAATGGGGATGGATGGGTTCGTTTTGTTCTGTGTAAAATTCTGCATGTGTCCACTCCTAATGTATTTTTTCTCCATTCCTATTTGGGGAAGCACTGTAGCTCCATGGTAGAGCATTTGCTTTGCATGCAGAAGGTCCCAGGTTCAATCCCCAGGGAAGGTTGGGAATGTGTCCTGTCTGAGATCCAGGAAGGCTGTTGCCAGTCATTGTAGCCAATGCTGAGCTAGAAGGACCGATGCCTTGGTATAAGGCAGCTTCCTATGTTCCTCATCAATACAATGACAAACCTAGACAGCATCTTAAAAAGCAGAGACATCACCTTGCCGACAAAGGTCTGTATAGTTAAAGCTATGGTTTTCCCAGTAGTGATATATGGAAGTGAGAGCTGGAGCATAAAGAAGGCTGATTGCCGAAGAATTGATGCTTTTGAAATATGCTGTTGGAGGAGACTCTTGAGAGTCCCATGGACTGCAAGAAGATCAAACCTATCCATTCTTAAGGAAATCAGCCCTGAGTGCTCACTGGAAGGACAGATCGTGAAGCTGAGGCTCCAATACTTTGACCTCCTCATGAGAAGAGAAGACTCCCTGGAAAAGACCCTGATGTTGGGAAAGATGGAGGGCACAAGGAGAAGGGGACGACAGAGGACGAGATGGTTGGACAGTGTTCTCGAAGCTACCAGCATGAGTTTGACTAAACTGCAGGAGGCAGTGGAAGACAGGAGTGCCTGGCATGCTCTGGTCTATGGGGTCATGAAGAGTCGGACACGACTAAACAACAACAAATGTTCCTCATCAAAATGCCTCACATATTGAACCAACCCTGTTCTACACACTCATCAAGGACTTTTGCCTGGCTAGAATTTGCCCTTGAATTGTGATGATGCCCCTTGCTTGCCTGACTAGAGGGTGGGGAAGTGGGGTCAGGCTGGAAGGTAGCCTTCTATACAAATGCAAGAGTTGCATAATTTGCTCCACCCAGTTATATCTACAGCCCCACCCTCCACTGGCATGTGGTCCTCAAAGAATGTGGCCCCCAGGCTTAGAAGTCCCACTATTCCTGTTTCATGCCATTTAAATAACACCTCATTAGTATAAGTATAAATATTTCTACCCCCCCCCCCCCACAAAAATTAACCCTAGGGGAGTGGTGCGGGGAGCACAGCAAAACTGCTTGCCTGCAATCAAAGTGTAGCAACACTCAAATCAGCTAAAATTAGCCAGGGCACATTCTCCATATGAGATGATGTGAAAGCAAATGGGAACCACTGCAAACTTAAAAGAGAAAATGAAATGCAGCAGCTAATTTCCCTAACACGCTCCGAGTAACAGAGGAATAAGCATTGCTCTGTAACTAATTAATGGTAATTATTCCCAAACAAAGCACTTGGAACGCAGTACATTTTCTCAGTTCTCCTGCCAAATGGAATGGAAGATGAGAGCATCCAGCATAAAAGATGGGCCTGGGTGAGCTGTCCACCCAGAGCAAAAACTGTGCGTCTCTACTGCAGCAAAACTGCTCTCTTCTAGACATTTGGCACCAGTTGAATATGCACAAAGATCTTTCTTTTTCTGCAGTAGAAATAAATATACTAAGACTGAGTTGACAGGAGCAATATGTGTCTGACTGTCACTGGTTATTTCCAGCAGGTGTGCTATGCTCCTAGACCAGGAATCCTCACTTCCGGGGTGGCGCCATCGGCAATGGCGGATTCCCTCTGAACTGGAGGGACCAGCTCCACGGGAATCGGGTCTTTTCCGCTACGGCGAAGCGGGGACCCATTCAAAAATCACAGGCGGATGAAGCCTGTGACCATGGGACTCGGCGGGCACCCTTAGCGCCCCCCAACCTGCAAAAGAACGCATTAAAGGGCTCCGGAGCGAAGAGGGGGAAGTGGCGCGGTGCTGAGAGTCAACTGCTTCTTCCGTGGAGCGAAGCCGCACAGCCGTTGCCGGAGAGCGCTGCCTTTTTCCTGGGACAATCTGGCTTCTAAAATAATCACCCGTGAGTACCTAAACTCGGACAATTGGACTCTAAATAAGGACTTGTGAGCAGAAAGGAAAATTGGACTTAAAAGTTTACCTTAATTTGGCGCTGAAACGGGAAGGTCTAAACAGGAAGTCAGCCTTCCGTTTCTTTGTAGATAGATTAAAGCAAAGACATGGCAAACTAGAGCTCAGAAAATCGCCTGTAAGAGATTAACGTTCATCATTTAAAATTGTTGAACCCCCTTCGGAAGCAGGAGAAGAGGGGGGATTTTTTCGGACTGTTTAAACCTGCAGAAGTGAAGGTAAAGTAAAGTAACTTTCCACCGTCCTGATCCTGGAGCGGGGTGTTAGGACTGACGTTTTTTGAAGCTCATTGACCAGAGACAACGTTTTTGACAGATAGCTATAAGAAGAGAAACTTTGACTCCATTGTTCCCCTTCGCTTCTTAAAGGAACAAATATTGACAAAATATCTGAAAAAGGAAACTTTGTCACTAGACTTGTCTTTAAAAGAAAGAACAAATAGAAGTTTTCCCCCCTAGAGGGAGACTGTGAAACTGTAACCAACTCCGGGGAGCTGGCAGCTGTTACAGATTACAATCGTGGGAATAGACATCTGACCTTGCAGGACAATGTATTCAGAAGCTCTGTTGTGTGCTTTCTATAAAACAAATGCCCTACTGGAACAGCTACATGAGAAGACGAATTTGATGGCTGATTCGATTAGAAATTTTGAACAGGCAATGGGAAATTTTGAACAGGCAGTGGGAAAATATGTGGAGCCCACCCAGGAATTAAATCAGGAGTGTGCCCTGACAGAACAGGCCCAACAGGAACATGAGCTTTCGGATTTGACAAATGAACTTGGAAAAAGCCAGATTTGGAAAGAAAAAGTTTGGTTTGGTTTGGAAATGGGGGGCTAGATAGACCCCCCTATGCAGGGATGTTTGGACTTTTCAAGTCTGGCAATGGGCCGTGAGATGTCTGGGATTGTGGGGGCTCCTAATTTTGGAGGGATTTTGAAACATGTTCTTAAATACCACATGGAATCTAGTGTGGATTATGGAAAAGGGGCTGATCTGTCGAGAAGGGTAAAAAATATTGTTAAGCTGGAGTTCCCACGAGTGAAACGAGCAGGAGACAAAGGAAAATACAGTTACAAATATGAAGAAGAGCTGCGGAAGGGACATGGAAGAGACTTAAGGGCCTCGGATATAAGGTTACCAGGTTAATGCGCTAGATCGATGGGATAATAATGACTGACAAAACCCGGGACCAGGAGGAAGGGACGCTGGATGCAGATTGGATTGTTTTTATTTCTTTTTCTACTACTAGGATTGTTTTATAAAATTGATGAATGTTAGAAAAATGTTGGAATGAAATTACTTGGCTTTAGTAAAAATGTTTAAAGAATTATGTAAGAATATTATGGTTATGAGAAGTTGGTAAAAATAAGATTTAAGTTTTAAGTTTTAAGGTTTTTTTATAGTAAGATAAGATTAAAATAGTTTAAGGTAATGTAATGACAGAATTTTATGAAATATGGAAAGGATTTGCTGCAACAATTAACAACTAGGATACAAAAAAAGGGAGGAGGAGGAGGTCAAAGAAAGAAGGTAATGACAGTTGAGGATTTGAGAATAATGGATTTGTTTTTAAAAGTTTGTGGTATATTTTTGTTTTTTTTGAATTTGTATTGTTGGATGTGGTTTGTGTTTTTCTTTGTTCTTTCTTTGTTCTTTTTCTACTTTGTTTTCTTTTGTAACTCTAAAAAAAATTTCCAATAAATATCATTAAAAAAAATAAAAATAGACCAGGAATCCTCAGATGCAAAGTCTTCCTACGACAATAAATATCTTGGGATGGCCAAAGATATTTTGGCACCTGAGGCGAACCACAAATTGTACCACATTCCCTGAACCCTGAGGGGACACCTTGGCCACTGGGCTACTCTTGGCCACAGAGTCCTCAGAGGAACAGGAACATTTCCCCAAAATGTCATTACATTTTGAAACCCTGTTGCTTAAAAGAAGCCAACAGTTGCAGAGAAATTGCACTGGCCCTTAAACTGGTCAGATGCAGCTTTCAGCGGGTGGGGCTTCCATCTTGACCATGGAGCCCAAACTATGAAACTCTGCTAGTCACTCCAAAGCATTGCTGGGCTCAACAGAGAGGGTGATTTTCCCGAGAGTCTCAAGTGCAATGGAGGCCTCAAATTTAGACACTTGTTAATTGTAGAGCTGTTGATAAGTCCTACAACCTTTTAGTATGTATGTCAGACCAAACTTTGGAAAGATTTGAACCAGTAGCACACACACACACTTTTCCAGTTTGAATTCAACAGAGACTTTCGATTCAGGTAGGTAGCCGTGTTGGTCTGACGCAGTCAAACTAAATTAAAAAATTAAAAAATTGTCCAGTAGCACCTTAGAGACCAACTAAGTTTGCTCTTGGTATAAGCTTTCGTGTGCATACACACTTCTTCAGATACTATTCAGAGACTTTCGAGAAACGGCTCAAGCTTTATTGCCGTCTAAGGAGCTGTGTGTGTGTGTGTGTGTGTGTGTGTGTGTGTGTGTGTTGGTTGATTTGGCTTGCCTGCAACTATCCCAGGTGCACTCAGGCAGCTTGGCAGGTAGGACTATTAAATGAAGCCCTTGGAGAGGGCCAGCCATAATTGCCCCTTGCTGTTGTTGAGGGGAAAGAAAGATATTGTACTTTGCCAGCATAGCATATCTTGGAGGTCTGTCCCTCTTTAATTGAACCTTTCAGCACTCATTATAGGGTTTAGGCAGCCCCACATTTATTTCTGGAGGGATGATTCACTTGTGAGGGATGTACTGTGGTCCACTGTTTGTTGTCAGTCTCTAATTATAAGTTATGGCCTGTGTTTTACAAAGGAGGGATTTCACATTTTCATCGACAGGCACTTGCTTGTGTCATCTTAGCAAAGCAGCTGGCCTTAGTAGTGCATCTTTCAGCCTTTGGCATCCAAAATGTGCTGTTAACACAGTTAATGACTGAACCTGCATCATCATGTGTCAGAAAATCCTGGCTGTCATGAGCTATCAAAAGCAAGGCTGCGGATGGCCAGTAGTTAAGAGATAAATGAGTCTGGAAATGAAATAGAAGCAACCATTATTGATGAATCAGAAAACGGAGGAGGGGATTACTT